TTGGGCAACCCCTTATATCATAGAATGTCTGCAATATTGTTGTACTTATATAGGATTACATTCGAACACCTTCTGGGAATTTCTTTGTTACAAAGGAGCGTCGTCGTGGCCTTCTTCCTGTTATTTTGGAGGACCTTCTAGCTGCACGGTGAGTATTCACAGTAATAGATTCAGCTCCTTGTTTTGCTTTATACTTGACTGAATTTAGGAAGCGAGCGAAAAATGAGATGAAGCACGAGAAGGACGAGTTTCGTAAGATGGTGCTCAATGGTCGACAACTTGCTTTAAAGGTCGGATTATAAATCTGGTCGTTAGTGCGAGGTTCCCGGGTGTGGTTCACTAGGACAGAAAGCGACTTTTTCGCGTTTCGCAGCGCGAAACATTTTCCGCTGCGGGAACCTCAGGTCCACCGCTGATCATCAGTGGACCCGAGGTTCCCGCAGCGAATCATCAGTGGACCCGAGATTCCCGCAACGAACAATGTTTCGCGCTGCGAAACGCGAAAAAGTCGCTTTCTGTCCTAGTGAACAACACCCGAGGTTGCCGACCTTAACGACAGATTTTACGATAAATTTTACGATGCAGTGATATGCATCTGATTTGAGCTGGCAGCAACGCTAGGCTATACCCATCCCTATCGAGCATCTCCACAATATTGAGCGAGTCGATATTATTGCATGGCGATCGTGAATTGTACCGGTTTCATAAGGTGAAACGAATGGCCTGTCTCCCCTACATCGTTTGCATTGATGGAATATCTTTGCAAAGCAAGTAGCATTGTTTCAACGGAGAGCGGTCTTCGTAGAAAAAGCGTTTTTACGGGAAGCAAAGTTGCAGTTCGAAAAGTTCGGAAAGTTGTTGAAAAGCTGCGCTGCGGTGCTGCCTGTTTTCGGCTCTCATCGTCTTCAAAAATTGGCCGACACCATGCTTAAGCTCGCTCAGAAATGCTTCGGATCTTCCTGCCCACGCCAGCGCGTACCACCATGAGACGAAGATTCATGCAGTGCTCTCCTAAACTTCACCTAAGGAGGTAGTGGTGGCCTGATCACGATCATGGCATTCATTTTGGCATGGAGGTCAGCTGGCGCCAGTTTTAGGTTACACTTTACTTACGCAACTTCTTTGCTGCATTTCTTGCCGAAAATTGGCCTCTCACATTGTGTTTGGAAGGTTTACATGGCAGTTTGGTCTTCATATTAGAGGTTAGTATTCGTGACCCTATCGATTTACCTAAATCATAGCAACTGAAGGTCCGGTTGTTTGAATATCTTCGCTGGAAGGATCGAAAAAGCGAGAAGAAGGTTATCTATTTCCCAAACTCATGCATACCTCTTGCTATTTAACAAATGGCGAGCTCCTCTACAAAAAAATTCCTTTCACTCCAGTTAGTTATTTCAAGAAAGGAGTAGAGATCACTTCCCCCATACCTTCAATTCCGGTAATTTACATCTGATTATGAATGGCCTGGCGATACTAGTGTTGCCCCTTATTGAAGTTGAAGTTTGTGTCTTGTTCATTTAAGGCTCAATTATTTTCTTCAGATATCCGCGAACTCGGTTTATGGTTTCACTGGGGCAGTTGTTGGTAAACTACCTTGTCTGGAGATTTCTCAGTCAGTGACCGCCTTCGGAAGGCAAATGATTGACTTGACAAAAAGTGAGGTTGAGAAGCGGTACACAGCTGGAGCATTGGACGGAAAATGCCCTACAGACGCTCAGGTTAGATGCCTACGAATCACTTTCTTGATTTCCTACATGTTAATCATCATTTCCATTAGGTTGATCTTATCAAAAATGTTCAAGGTAATTTATGGAGACACAGATTCTGTGATGGTCAAGTTCGGAGTCAAAACTGTAGCTGAAGCTATGGAAATAGGTTTACATGCGGCAACGGAAGTAAGCAAAATATTTACCCCACCTATCAAGTTGGAGTTTGAAAAAGTGAGTGAACTGGAGATTTTTTTGACATTCAAACAAGGACTTTTCATCTCTTATGTCTTTTTTCTAGGTTTACTTTCCATACTTACTCATTAACAAGAAGAGGTATGCCGGTCTTTATTTCACGAAGCCAGATAAGCACGATAAAATGGATTGTAAGGTAAGTTTTTGTTGTACATTCGGTTTTGTTTCCAAACATAATAAGGTTTGTATATGCTCTTGAATGTTATGATGGATCAGTTTTCGATAAAAAGCAAGTTTACTCTGATTTGAATCAGAAGCTGTAGTTCACTTTGAAAGAGCTACATCTTCCTCGTTTTCTGAAATTAGCATTTTCAGGGACTGGAAACCGTGCGACGTGACAATTGTCCTTTAGTGGCGAAAGTGCTGAACACATGCTTAGAGAAACTCCTTATTGCACGAGATGCGACTTCAGCTTTAGAATTTGCGAAACGGGTCATATCAGATTTACTTTGTAATAAGATCGACATCTCGCTGCTAATCATCAGCAAAGAATTAACGAAGTCTGGAGACGTAAGTTTTACTGATATTGTCCTAAGTTCCGCAATTCAGCTCCGTTATTAAGTTCAGCAACACTTTCAGTTAAATCCTTACCTCTTATGATAATTGGGAGATTCCGGGGTAGAGGTATTGAAACCATCCCAATCACTTCTGTTGTTTTCACGCTAATTCTACAGTGGAGATGGTGATTCCAGGCGCATTCATTAGTAGTGGTAGCGCGTGATTTGTTCTGCGCGATTTGAATTGCGCTCATCTTGTCACTTTAACTCATTCACCTCGGTTCAGCCCAGATGCGCTGCCAGCTAACAATCGTCTACCAACCGTTTGTCGTAGTTTTTCGCATATTGATATAGGAATAACTAACGTCTTTTGGACTGCTGGAATTACTTTGTGCGATTCACTTTTGTTCATTTTTACGCAAAATGCACGGATGTGAGAGGCAGCGACAAAATCGCGCTCGTCTCACCAAAAAGCGAAAAGAGGCTTCGTCTTGAATGTGTTAATGATATTATGATTCTTTTATACCTGGATCACTCCGATATGGCTCATTTTGCACGCATGCGCGTCCTTTTCTATATTGATAATGTAGCTCTACCTGAATTTGGACTACAAAGGAGAAGGTTCGCAGAATAGTCAGATATGTTTCGATTTAGGATAAGTTTTTGAGCCATGATCAACCGTGCCTGTTGATCTGGACGGAGGGAAGCGGTCCTATCTGTGAGTTCTGGATGGGAGGTCGTTTTGCTAATATCTGTGACCTTGTGACTGTGAGAATGGGACTGTATTCGAGTTTTGCAGGGTTCGTGATGGTAGAAGTTGAGGGTTGCATTGTAGTGAAAAGGGTTAAGGAATCGAGGGTTTTCTTCCACCTACTCTA